CTCCCTCCCTCCCTCTCTCTCGCTCTCTCGCTCTCTCCTCCTCCTTAGAATCAGATCGGTCTTTCCTCCTGCTCCTCCTGCATCGACGCCCCGTAGACGCCACCTCCGAAGTATCATAACTCAGTGGGGCTATCAAAAGGCGTACTTCCGGTCTCTTTTACCCCGAACGAAAATGAATTATTTGCGTCTCTTGCCGGCGGATGTTCATCTTCCTCTCCAAGGAAAATTTAATTGAACAACACCTAGTGCGCATTTTATTGACATTTTATCATCGATAATTTTGATTTCTTTTATTTATTTTTTTTGGACTTTAAGCTGCTTTTACAACAAATGTTTCTACCTTACTTAAATTGCCTGACGCTAGAAAACTGTCACTCGAAGTTTTGCACGAAAAATGTTTTTTTAGTTTTTATTTTATTTTATTCGTTTATTTCTCACCGCGTACCTACACTGCCCCCTATACTACAGGCGTACTCTAGATGTGGAATGTGCATCCGAGACTCACCTGGTCCTTCTTCGAGCGTGGGTCCGCGACTTGTACAATGTCGTCCGCGGGCACCTTCCAGCTGCCGCCCCGGTCTGTGGTGGCCGCGTGCATGGCGGGCTACTCGGCGGTGCGCCGCGCTGCCCTGCGAACAAAAATACGTTGCACATCAATTCGAGTGTCATCAAATAAGATCGAACACATTTCATTTCACACACGCACAGAGCACTATCAGTGTAACCAGACGAGCTTCCCAACCCCCCACTTCCCCCTCGTCTCCTTCGCTCCACCGCTTCACGCTCCATCGCCCGCCGCGGCAGGGCGGTTACCTTCATCGCTTTCAATTCGCGCGCAAATAAAAGCAGAGCTCCGAGCAATCGGTTCTCGCCACGCCACGCCTCGCGGAGCCATAACCCGCCCCACCGCGCGTAAAGGCGCCGCCAAACGAGTTATGTGGGAAGAGTCGTCGTCTCACCTCCCCTCCTCGCCACGTCCCCCCCCCTCCCACTTCATCCCGGCCATCCGCCGCCTCGCCTTGGTCAGTGCAAAGAAGAGTTCAAACGCCGCCACTAAACCCATCTCCATTTCTTTTTATTATTTTTGTCTGTCGCTGTATGATGTGACATTTTGTTTGATCCCCTATCGTGCGCATGTCTTGTGGGCCATCCTGCCTGCATGTTGTTCACCCTGCACAATAAAAATCACCAACCTCTCCCCTCTCTCCCCTAACAGGGCGTCCCGTCAGCGCGGTGGTTCGGCCGGGAGTTTCATGGCCATTACGAATGGACCTGCACCAGCAGTCCGCCTTGGGCAGACATAAACAGGGTCTGTATTAAGTTAACGCACAAATCGCAAATCTAAGAACAAGTCACACTAACTCCACTGGCACTGCAAACCCTTGAGTAAAGTTTCGTGCTTGAAATGAGTGTGGTTCCAAATCATTTGTACGTTACGAACAACAGTTCTTTGTAAGAAACTTACAGTGTGTTTTCTCAAATTTACTTCCTCCTTCCTTCGTGCAGATAAACAGAGAAGCCCATTTAGTTAAAGCTGTGCAAAATTAACATAAACGCAGATACACGTTTCCATAATAATGTGCACCGCATTGGTAGTCACACATCACAACGTTAGATTTATTTTCTCAGAAGATGCGGCAACCAGACAGTTCCTATTCCAGGTGGTGAGATATTTGCTACGCACTTCAACTATCAACAACCCCGCATAGCACAGCCGCAGCAGCTCAGTCTCCCACCGCTCTCACGGCAACAGAGCGCAGCCCGCAGACCCCCCCCCCCCTCTGCGAATTATTCAAGAGCAGCCGCTACAGAACGCCTCCACGCCAGTACAATCACGATCAGGACGCTGGGGAGGGGGAGGCGACGTACACGGGGAGGGGGTAATAGACGAGGTAATCGTCTGATTGCAGTCGGCGCCGTTGGCAGATAAAATAAGGATATTTGTAATACAAGAAATTGACTGAAAATTGGTTGAAAGACATAAAATTTTGGCGTCTAAAGACGCTAAAACCTGGCATCTCTTGCGAAAGCACGCTAAATGTTTGCGTCACGAGACGCCAATTTTTAATTTTTGGTGTTCCCTGTTCTCCAAAGGAGACTCCAATATTTGGCGTCAAAAGACGCCACTCAACTCAGTTTTCAGTGTCATCTTATCGACGTTTTAACGCAGGAGGGCAGTCATATACGACGTATATGATGAAAATATTGATTCTTCGTTACGAGCCTCGTAGCTTGACAAGAGTCCGCATGAACACAATTCTTCTTTCCTTCAGATATGGATAGATAGAAAGATAGATGGATCCGACTCCGTGCTCACCCATGTAGGACTAGCAGCTCGACCCCCTTCATTCTTTTGGCTCTTTTGTCCGGTCGGTTTGTTGGGTAGAGTTGGCGGTAACGAAGGGGGGGTTGACATGAGGGAAGGGGAGGGGTCCAGTCTGGAACGGGTGGTAGGGGTATGGGGGCGGCGGGGCCAGAGGCGGCGGCGGCGGCGGATGCGGACGGTTGGGAGGTGGTTTCCGAGGTGGGCCGGCCTCCCGCTCCACTCGTGTAGATCTCATGAAAAGGACTGCGGACTGTACTTCCGGTCGCCTTCCCTGTGATTTATTCCGCGGATTTGTCGCGACAGAAGGGATTGGGGAGGGGGAGGAGAGGGCGCTAGGGTGGGAGGGGCGGCACTGGCTGGGGAGGAGTCGTCTCAAGTTCAGTCCGCCGCTTCTGGCCCAGCAGCCTTCTGGAGCAGTGTGAGGTTACAGGGGGGAGAGT